GATTGAGGACTGTATTTTTATTTTTATCGTTTGTTTGTTGTTTAGTTTTCATGGAGACGGATTTGATTCCACTGATTTGGTTACTAGATCCTGATGTTTATGGAAAACTTCGTTCTTTTTTTCAGTTTCGAGTGTTTGAAAAAAGTTTTGATTTTTGGATAATCCGTTGGTATTTCTGATTTCTGGGAGGAATTTTTTTTTTTCTAGGTTAATTTCAATGGGAAGAGGAGGGCAAGATTATGGGAAGAGTGAAAACCATGGTGCTAACTCATCAAGTCAGGAGATTTTTCCTGCTTGGGCTAGAGATGCAGCAGAGTGTGAAGAGAAGTACCAAGTGAACAGACAATTTGGATTATCGAGTGACGACGTTGAGAAAAGGCATCAGATTTATGGGTGGAATGAGTTGGAGAAACATGAGGAGACATCAATTTTCAAACTGATATTGGAACAATTCAATGACACACTAGTTAGGATTTTGTTAGCTGCAGCTGTTATATCGTTTGTGTTAGCTTGGTATGATGGTGAGGAAGGAGGGGAGATGGAGATAACAGCATTTGTGGAGCCGCTTGTCATTTTCTTGATCTTGATAGTGAATGCTATTGTGGGAATATGGCAAGAAAGCAATGCAGAAAAAGCATTGGAAGCTTTGAAGGAAATTCAGTCGGATCAGGCAAGTGTGATTCGTGGTGGTAAGAAAGTCTCGAATTTGCCTGCAAAGGAACTTGTACCTGGGGATATTGTGGAGTTGAGAGTTGGTGATAAAGTGCCTGCTGATATGCGGGTCTTGAGTTTGATAAGCTCCACTGTAAGAGTTGAACAGGGGTCCTTGACTGGAGAGAGTGAAGCCGTGAGCAAGACTGTGAGGCCTGTTCCAGAGAACGCGGATATTCAGGCGAAGAAATGTATGGTTTTTGCAGGGACAACTGTAGTCAATGGAAACTGTATTTGCTTGGTCACACAGACGGGCATGAACACAGAACTTGGAAAGGTACACTCTCAAATTCAAGAGGCATCTCAGAGTGAAGATGACACCCCATTGAAGAAGAAGTTGAATGAGTTTGGAGAGGTTTTAACAATGATAATTGGTATTGTTTGTGCACTGGTTTGGCTTATTAATGTGAAATACTTCCTTAGTTGGGAATATGTTGATGGTTGGCCAAGAAATTTTAAGTTTTCATTTGAGAAGTGCACGTATTACTTTGAGATTGCTGTTGCATTGGCAGTAGCTGCTATTCCAGAGGGTTTGCCAGCAGTTATCACAACATGTTTGGCACTAGGAACTAGAAAGATGGCTCAAAAGAATGCACTTGTTAGGAAGCTGCCTAGTGTTGAGACTCTTGGTTGCACAACTGTTATCTGTTCTGATAAAACTGGGACTTTGACTACTAATCAGATGGCTGTTTCAAAGCTTGTTGCTATGGGTTCAAGGCCTGGCACTCTCCGATCATTTGATGTGGAAGGGACTACCTATAGCCCTTTTGATGGAAAGATACAAGGGTTTCCAGAAGGTGAAATGGATGCCAATCTTCAAATGGTTGCCAAGGTTGCTGCTGTTTGCAATGATGCTGGTGTTGAGCAATCCGGAAGTCATTTTGTTGCAATTGGAACACCCACTGAGGCAGCACTAAAGGTGAAACATAGAAAATAAATTTGAACTGGTGAATTTTTAGAAGCTTGTCTGGAGTTTAAATCCTATTATTTGCTTTAGGTAGTAGATTGAGAATGCTAGAATCTCTTTGCAATGAACCCATAATTGCTTCACTAGGATTTTGCACAACCAGCATTTGCTTGTCCATGAAACCCGTAAAGTTCTTTGTTAAAGTTGCTTGGAATGACAGCATGATTGAAGTGGAAGGTTTATGTTCCATGGTTTCCATTTTGATGGAGTTTCTTTTCATTTCCAGGTTTTGGTTGAGAAAATGGGATTTCCTAAAGGTTATGGTTCTTCAGAGTGTGCAGGCCCTCAACGTATGTCAGCTTCTCACTGTATTTTTTATTCCTTGCTGGTCTATACATCCTAATATGGTTTGTTTTGATGTTGTCATCGTACACAAGGTTGTTCTCAATTATGGAACAAAATGGAGCAGCGGATTGCAACTCTTGAGTTTGACCGAGATAGAAAGTCCATGGGAGTTATTGTGAATTCAAGCTCAGGACGAAAGTCATTGCTTGTGAAGGTTCATTAACATACCCCCTCTCTGCCCCACCAGTTTTTAAGATGATAGTTGTGACAAATTGAAGCATATTTTCCCTATTTCCATTTTGTTAATCTAATTAAACCTGTTCAATGTTGCAGGGTGCAGTAGAGAATGTACTTGAAAGAAGCTCTTGTGTTCAGCTTTGTGATGGTTCTACTGTAGAGCTAGATTCACGTTTTAGGAGCATAATTTTAGAAAGTCTTAATAAGATGTCAACGGGAGCATTACGTTGTCTGGGTTTTGCATACAAGGAGGACCTTTCAGACTTTGCTACATACAATGGTGATGAAGACCATCCAGCTCATCGGCTTTTGCTTAATCCATCCACTTATTCTTCAATCGAGAGCAACCTTATTTTTGTGGGTTTGGTTGGTTTAAGGGTAAGTTCCTACATTTTCCATTTCCAGTCAGTTTTTGCTTTTCTTTAATTTTAGTATTTTACATTTTGCTAAATCTTTGTAAATAATTTTAAAAGGATCCTCCTCGGAAAGAGGTTCGTCAAGCAATTGAGGACTGCAAAGCTGCTGGAATCCGTGTTATGGTTATAACAGGAGACAACAAGAATACTGCAGAAGCTATTTGTCGTGAAATTGGTGTGTTTGGATCTCATGAAGATATTAGTTCAAGAAGCATTACTGGAAAGGAGTTTATGGATTTTCCTCACCAGAAGAATCATCTAAGGCAGGGTGGAGGTCTCTTGTTCTCTAGGGCTGAGCCGAGGCACAAACAAGAAATAGTGAGGTTGCTGAAAGAGGATGGTGAAGTTGTTGCAATGACTGGAGATGGAGTGAATGATGCTCCAGCCTTGAAGTTGGCTGATATTGGAGTAGCAATGGGCATTGCTGGAACAGAGGTATCTGCTTCATTTACTACTACTCGTATGTTGTAATAACATTTGTGGCTTCTTTCCTCTTATCTCTGCATTTTTTAAGAACAAAAATCTTATTCACTTGTGCTGAAAACACCAGGTTGCAAAAGAAGCTTCTGACATGGTGTTGGCAGATGACAATTTTAGTACCATAGTTGCTGCCGTGGGTGAAGGCAGATCTATCTATGACAATATGAAAGCCTTTATCAGGTTCGTGATTTCTGTAGAATAGAAAAGATATATGACATGAAAGAGAATCAAAATTTTATTTATTTAAATATGTAATCTGACGATGAAAATGTGGATTCTACCATCCTTTGATATAAAAAACGCTCGATCCTTTTTCAGGCTTAGAAATTTTAGCTTTTCATTTTGTCTTTAATCTCTTTAGAACTTCATATTTGCAGGTATATGATCTCCTCCAATATAGGAGAGGTTGCCTCTATATTTTTAACATCTGCTTTGGGAATTCCAGAGGGTATGATTCCTGTTCAGCTTCTCTGGGTTAATCTTGTTACTGATGGACCTCCAGCAACTGCTTTAGGGTTTAACCCTCCAGACAAAGATATAATGAAAAAGCCCCCCAGAAGAAGTGATGACTCATTAATCACTCCTTGGATCTTATTCCGCTATCTGGTAACTGAACCTTGTTCTCAGAGTTTCTACTAGCTTCTCGTATGAAGCAGAATTCAGTTTTGAATTTTCTTTAGAACTTTCAAACTTTATAACTTTATTCGTGTCTTGGCGCCAGGTTATTGGATCTTATGTCGGGATAGCAACAGTTGGAATATTCATTATATGGTACACACATCACACCTTCTTGGGCATTGATCTGAGTGGAGATGGCCACAGTCTGGTCACCTACTCTCAACTTTCTAACTGGGGTCAGTGCTCTTCATGGAAGGATTTCTCAGTATCCCCCTTCACAGCTGGGTCACAAGTGTTTAAATTTGATACAAATCCTTGTGAGTACTTTCACACAGGGAAAATCAAAGCCTCAACCCTTTCCCTTTCGGTCTTGGTTGCCATTGAGATGTTCAATTCCCTTAATGCCCTCTCTGAAGATTCAAGCTTGTTGACAATGCCCCCCT